GCTCCAAAGGTGATGTGGGGCCGAGCGGGCCCCCGGGAATGCCGGGGATGCGTGGTGACCAGGGCCTGAACGGCTTTGCAGGGAAGCCGGGAGTGCCAGGAGAAAGAGGCCTGCCTGGGTCACAGGGACCCCCCGGCCCAACGGGCCCAAAAGGAGAACCAGGGTTCATCGGTCTCCCTGGGGTGCCAGGATTAACGGGCGGCCCTGGGCCGAAAGGGGATGGCGGGATCCCGGGGCAGCCGGGGCTGAGGGGCCCCTCTGGCATCCCAGGCTTGCAAGGACCCACAGGTCCCATGGGGCCTCAGGGGTTACCGGGGCTGAAAGGGGAGCCTGGGCTCCCTGGGGTTCCTGGTGAGGGGAAGACTGGTGAGCCCGGCATGGCCGGACCCATTGGCCCCCCGGGAATGCCAGGAACACCAGGGCTGAATGGGCCACCGGGCCCACCGGGGCCGCCCGGGCCACCAGGAGCACCCGGGGTGTTCGATGAGACGGGCATTGCGGGGCTGCACCTGCCAGACGGAGGCGTGGAGGGAGCCGTGCTGGGGAACGGCAAGCCGGGGAAGCCACAGTACGGCCGAGGAGAGCTCTCTGCCCGGATTGCGCCAGCCTTCACCGCCATCCTTACCTCCCCCTTCCCGGCATCAGGCATGCCAGTCAAGTTTGACCGGACTTTGTATAACGGGCACAATGGCTACAACCCGGTCACCGGGATATTCACCTGCCCCGTATCCGGCATCTACTACTTCGCCTACCACGTGCACGTCAAAGGGACTAACGTTTGGGTGGCGCTTTATAAGAACAACGTGCCCGCTACCTATACGTATGACGAGTACAAAAAGGGCTACCTGGACCAGGCCTCGGGCAGTGCCGTGCTTGAACTCAAGGAGAACGACCAAGTCTGGGTACAAATGCCCTCGGACCAGGCCAACGGGTTGTACTCCACGGAATACATCCACTCCTCCTTCTCCGGGTTCCTGCTTTGCCCCACATAACGGCTGTTGGGCATGTTTCCTTTTCACCCACTTTAGCCATAAAACTGTCTTTTTTTTTGATAAAAAAGTTTTTTAAAATTAATACAAAAAAGAAAAATCACTGGGACGCGCAAGCCGTTGTCATGGGACCTTCCTTCACGCTGTTTGATCCATGAGTCAAGAGGGTAATCAGAAAGGAGACGTCTATCTATCTTTCTTTTTTGGGGGAGGGAGAAGGGAGGGAGGGGAGTGACTTGCTTAGCAAAGCGTATTTGCAGTAAGTTTTACCCTAGTGACTGTACATCAAACACAGGAACGTGCTTGGGATGGCAAGGATCTGGCTCTGCAGTAAACTGCTCTGTGATCCAGAGACGGTCGTCTGGAACACCAGACCCTTCTGGTCTATAAGCAAGTGTCCTTATTTCCCATTTTGAGTACTAGTTAAATAAATACAGCTATTGTAACGGATAGTGTATTTGCTAACCAGCACAGAGGTCCTAGGCACTTGACACAAACCCGTACAGCAGCAGAGATCCATGATGGATTGAGAAATTTCCTTCCCAAACCATCAGATGCCCAAGTTTCAGTCTCACTGATGCCTATTTTTTTCAGGCTGTGCTTTGAGGCAGTCTCCCCGATTCACTCCGGATTCAGTGTGGTTGGATTTATAATCATAAGAAGTGGAAAACTTTGCATAAGCACCTTCTTAGAAGAAGTAAATATTGTTTCTAATCCTTCCCCCCCCAGCACCTTTAGCAATAAAAACAACCAGGCATTGGTATCTGGGAGGATGACGACCTATTCCAAAGCCGCTGAGGGAAGCTGGGACCCCTGTGATGAGCAACGATCCTCTCTCTTGGGCTAATTCATCTACTGGCAAGTCCAAGGGCTAGCTCTGTCCTGGCTGTTTCTTTGCAGCCCAAAGCCTTGCTTGGCCTTGTGAGCATCTTACTCTTTGACAACACAAGGACTGCACTGCAAGCCCGGCTTACGGTGCTTCTAGCCTGGTTTGATAGAAGGTTTAGTTACGTTCTCTTGAAACTGCCACTTACGGACAACTTGCTTTTACTGTCTCACTATTTCGGGATGTGTAAACTTTTGCATTGGTATCCCCGCTTCCTCTGGGGACCTTTTAACTAAGAAAAAATAGTGTTCGTTCTAACTTTCCATTCAGTCATTTTACAACGGTGCTATTATCTACTCAACAATGTTATTTACAAGTCTAGTGCAATATGTACCTGTAAAAGTGCACCACTCCAGGTGCCAATCTGTGACTTAGGTTAAAAAAAGAAAAAATCGCATTTGTCTGTTGTTACCACTTTGTCTCATTAATGCTTGAAATGTTACTGACCTGAATATGACCTACAAGGTTCTGGGAAAGGTATGCACGATACTGACCACTTGGCTGCTCTGTCCTTTGCTAAAGAGAGCAACTGCACCCCGTTGCTTTGCAGATTTTCTCACAGTAGAATAGTCATTGCCACTTGCACTTATGGTAAAGCGATTCGTCTCATCCCAGGCAAGTAGCACGCTGCTGAAGTTAATCCACATGTGTTATGCTGCATGTCCCTCTGCAAAGGCACATCCCTGAGAAAACAGAACAATTTGGTCACCAGCTGAGCAACTATTACCCTTAAATTTTCCTAAAGCCTGTTCTATGGCCAAAGAAAAGAAACGTAGCAAGAATGGGACTTGGGATTTGTTCTCCAGATGGCCTGTACAAGATATTTAAACAACTTTTCTTTTTCAGTTCTGTTTTGTGTGTTTGTTTGTTTGTTTTTCTCCTTAAGCCTGTCCTGTGTTTATGCCTCTTGCCTTCCAGGGCTTCCTTTTAAAAACACACCTATCCCTGAAATTAAGAAACACAAAAAGGAAATTTACAGTTGAGAGGCCAGTGCTTCAGCTGCTGCCCCGCTGGGGCTGGGGCTAGCCTGTCCCTCTCCCGGGGATTTTCTCCACATAAAGCTGCAAGTTTCATACAAAGATGAAACCTTCTCAAGCTGAAAGGCTGCCCCAGTGTTTCCAACCTCACTGGACATTTTTAACTTCTGAAGGCAGGGGGGTGTCAGGGCTATTCGGGTTCTGATCGTACCAGGTTACTTCCCAGCAGGAACAGGAGCCATACAGAAAGACTCCCTAGAATGAAAAGTGGAAACTCAGATGTTTTCTTCAAGTCCAGGCTTGGGAGAAGGGTGCTAGGATGGAGCCTGTGTCTCCTTTATTGAAGTGTCTTTCCTGTGGAGAACAGCAATGAGCTGGAGCGGGTGCCACGAAGGCCCTGGCGGGGTCTGGCTCCTTCCACCGCGCGGCACTGCTGGCAACGCGTGCACACTACCTGCAGCAGGGCCAGGAGCTTCTCGCACCCCAGCCACACGCCGGGGCAGAAGCTTCATCCTGTTACTCAGCAAAGCGACTTATTTATACTGTGTTCTAACCTACATTCCATCTCTTCTTGTTCTGTTTCATTCGAAACTTCTTGTTCTAGCTGGCAAAAAGCGATGACAAAAATACTCACTATAATCGCACCGAGACATTAACTCGTTCAGTGCTGTAGATACTGTTTTGCAATTTCACTTTCCCTTCATGTGCAGAGCATAAACCATAATCAACCTTCCGCAGCTATATAACCTGTTACATTTTAGACAGTAATTGAAAGGCAAAGATATTACATGCACATAGAGTTAGGCTAGAAAAACGATGCACAGGATGAGGGAGGCTGTTCACTAAACCGGACACTGTCAGGAAGAATTTTTTTTCTGGAGTACTGAGTACGTGATAATCGCCAGCAGAAAGGATTATTTTCTTTCGTGTGTGTGAGCGCGTGGGATTTTGGTTTCAATCACAATAATAAAAAAGGTTGGGTTGGATGAAGTATGTCTATTTTTAATTATGAAAACTGCGTAACAATGTGCATTTTTATATACAAATTCTTACTATTTTTTTTAAATTTGCCTCTAGTATCTTCATTTCTAACCTAGTATATAGAGGTTTTTAGTTTTGTAAATACTTACTACATGCACTGTCTGTCATAGTAAAAGTTGGTTTAAAATGCACTCTTTGTGATCAGAAACTGGCCTTCTTTTCAGAACTAAAACTGCAGTACTTGATTGTATTGACAAAACATCAATAAAACCTATTGTATAAAAGGTGATCCCAGCTGTGCCTCTGTCCTATTAATGGGCCTTGCTAGTAACACCGTTCATACAGACCTCTTGCACTGCATTTCCTTCTCAAATCCAGCTCACTTGTTCCCAGCAGTCCCGCAGATTTGCTTGCCAACTGATATTCTTATGTAAGAAAGTATCATGTATTTCTTGTGATTAAGGAGAAGATTCCTGTCTCCAGAAATTCATTTTCAAAAAGGATGAAATCTGGACTTTTCCAGACTGGCAATTATTAATTTGAGGAATTTAAATCAAAGTGTTGGGGATTCCCTTTCCCTTCTGTGTTTTTTTCATTATACCTTTTTTCGCTACATTACACAAGCTTGTCCACGGCCAACCTCCGCATCCCGAGCAGCAAAAGCAGTCAGTTCGGCAGCACCCAGAAGAAATGGTGAATTGCCTGTATGCAAATCACTTTCAGAGGCTAAAAGTAAAAAGAACAAAGAGAAGAAAACATGTTTTCCCACCTGATCTCTTATCTGGAAGAGGAGACGTTACTTGTTACGGGTGAAACACTTCCAGAGAAGCCTGGTTGCCACACAGGTGGACTCCTTTCAAAAGCCATGAAGAACAAGCGATTCTCCTGCTGCAAGTCGCAGGGGCACCCAGCACACTCCCGGGTTCCTGCACGATCATTGCACACCAGACTCCAGCACCTGAGCTCCTTCCACGCACCGCTCCTTGCTGCAAACACAGCCTTCAAGCCACAGCCAGCAAAGGAAAAGGGCCTCTCCAGCGAACCTCCCTGTGACACGCTGGACTGATGCTTCCGACTCACCCTGCTGTTAACAAGAACCGCTACTCCTGGGCTTTTACAAACTTCAGCTACCCCGTACTGCTCACAGGCAAGAGTGCCCCCCGAAAGTAGTTTTTACAGCAGATTTCCAGTGCTGAAACTCACCCCAAATGAGGCAAAAGAGTCTTGGCTACACACAAGATGTCTCTAACCAGCACCAAACAACTTCCATGCTGCTTTCTACAGAAAGATTTCAAGAAGCCATAACAAAATAGTTTCAGGTTGAGTCTTAAAGTGAAGTATGGGGTGGGGAGAAATAGCCCAGAGGATTTCATACGACTCCTCTTGTCGTTCAGCATGGAAACACAACTGCATGACTTAAACAAAAAGACAGGAGCAGTGGCTAATTAACAAAGATAACTAAGTGATTTTATTTCTTTCCAAGAAAGTCAGAGCTAAATGTTTTAGCACACATTTAAATGCTGGCCTAAAATGAGCTATATTTTTTAAACAGGAGCTCTTCTGCTCTTCATGAGTTACAAACATTTTAAATTATAAAGCTGCTTTAAAAGGAAAATATCTTCTTTTAAATAATTTTGTGAATATGTTCACACCTCTGGCAGAACAACATGAAAAACCTGACATTTTACATTGTGGATCTGCAGCACAATACATAAATAAACAACAGACCAAAATTCCACATGTTCGCAGGACAAGATACTCATTTATACAAGGAAAGCCCATTAAAGCATCACACAGAAGACTGGCACTTGAAGGAAGGAGGGTACCAGAAAAACTGGAATGACCTATCGCAGCCAGATATTCCACATCTGCATGCAGCCTGACACACACCCCAACCATGTGCTGATGCCAACAGGGAGTGAGCTCTGAGCACAACAGTCACTTCCTGGTGTCACAAGAAATACTAGAGAAATAATAAGAGAATTACATTGTCACATTTAAATTTATAAACACTTCCATATGATGACTGCTTGCCTCTTTTTGTTTTCAATTACTTAAAAGCTTTTAACCCCTTTTAGACATGCCACACCAAAGCTGTTACTCCCTTTTTGACCAACTCCATTAGGCAAAGGTTTTAAATGTGAAACTGGAACAACACAGCTTCACTAGAATATTCTTAGCCACCGGTACCAGCTTCAAATGCACAAATTCTTTTAAACTCTCATAAATTCTCCCCCAATTAACCTACCTTTCCCATTATTTTCAGGTGATTCTTACCAAGTTCAGAGTTTTAAGGCTGTGAGGAATAACTCCTGCTTCCTACCGAAATAATTTTTGTCACTGCAGCAGAACCAGAAATTCAATCCTTGTGTAGCACTAGGTTTCACAACTATCTCCACCCACAGATTGGGTGCTCTGGATGTACCTAGGACAGCATTAAAAAATACAGGATGTGTGGATTAGGAACAAAGGACTAGCTAGATGAGCTGCAGAAATGCAAAAGCCAGCTACGTAAGTGGACATAAAATGCAACAGACCAGGACAGTGCCAGGTGGAGCGCGGAGCAAAGGACACCCAAGGAGCAGTAATTAGTTACGCCTTCTTCCAGCAGTAACGACGAGCCAACTGGGATTCTGTCTGCATGCACCAAGGGCATTTCTCACAATGCCACTGGCAATGCAAAGGAATCCCTTCTCCAAACTCTAGTGCTTTTCATTCCGCCTTTAAGGAAGCGAACCTCCCTGGGAGGTCTACCCTCCAGCATCTTCACTCCACAACCTGCGCCACCAGGCAGGACATCCTCCACGCTCTCCAGGGATGTGCCGCTCTGGCACAACTCCCATCTGCATCCCTCGGCTGGTCAGCTGAGCATGAACTGGTATTTTAAGAGGGGTGTGGAGCCTATACAAAGCCACTGTAGGACAGGCCACCAACAACTGAAACAAAGGCCACAGCACACGGGAGTAGAGGAAAACAGCAAGAAAGTCATTGGATTCAGACACCCACCTAGTAACTGTAATGAAAAAATGGCATAATGGTGGACAAAGCAAGAAGCAGAAACCTTATGAAAAACTAGACGCTCCTGTACACTTCAGAGGAGATGCACCCACTGTTCAAGGCGCCACATGCAGCCACTTCCCAGCTGAACCGTAACGGAAGGGTATGTCCCCTCTCTTCCAAACCAGCTTGTGCTTCCAGCTCTCAACTCACAGCAGCAGGCGGCTTTCCCAGGTGGAGGCTCACTGGCATCTGCAGATGGTGCGGATCCACCACCAGGTTTCTCAACAGAAAAGCCGAGGTGACCACCCACTCCGCCTTCAGAAAACATGCTCCCCTTGCAGCTCAGAGCCGCTGGCAGTAGAGTTCATACAAGCTATTGGCCAGCTTCTGTGTCTCTTGAAAAGCTTCACAGCTCTGCTCCCAACTTGGGGGTATCTGTTCCTCCCCATAATAAGCCCCTGCAATGGCTCCTGCCATGGTAGCAATGGTGTCTGTGTCTCCACCCAGAGAGATACAGTAGATGATGGTCCTCTGCAGGTTGCTGTAGTGATCAGGAATATCTGGGTCAGCTTCCATACAGCGCAAGAAGGAGTAAATTGCAGTAGGGACAGACCACAAAGCAGCAATGCCATTGCCTGTTAACAAAACCAATCATCTTCAGTGCCGCAGAACACTTGTGTCTTCCTTCCTGCAGAAGTACCTTTTCCCTTCTAACTGCAGCTTCCTCTTGCCAGTTACTTTCAATACCGGTATCACTGATTTTATCATGGCAAGGTGCAAAAAGTAAGTTTGCACCTCAGAAGAGAAATCTCCCCATACTTCCCCAGCACTACTCACATCCCGGAGACCTACTCCCCACTACACCAGTCTAGTTTGGCAATACACACCTACTCAATTCCCATCCAACATGATAGCCATTAGGACAGGAGATCTTAGAATATTAAGAAACATTATTCATGGTAAGTTTTCCTTAGCAAGACATTTTTTCCCCCACCAATACAAAGAGGGAGTCACTGGGTCAAGACTCAGAGAATACTGACTGGTGAGCACAGGCAGCCTTTCCAGCATGTTCAATGCCTGACAGGCAGCAAAGGCTCAACTGGCAATCTAGGGGAGGACACATCAACTAGGCTTGCTGAGTTAGTCCTGCTTCCAGCTCTTCCCTAATACTTGTAGTAAGAAAGGTACTTACCTAATTCAAACAATACATCTGCTTTGGGAACACTGCTGAGCTCCAAAAATTCCTTTATTTTCTTTAGACGCCTTGAAAATGGTAAATCCTCAAATCCCAGCCTGGGAGGGTGGGAAAAGAAGGAATAGAAAGAAGAGAAGAGGATGTGAAGTGCCATAATAAACTGTACACAGCAGAGTTAGAGCTCCTCACAGCCACTTACGCTCGGGCATCAGTAAGAGACTTATCATCTGCCTCTACATCTTCCATGTGGCTGATGAGTTGCTCCAGGAAGGTCTCCTTGCTGAGTTCTCCCTGGAGGGCGAGATGCACTGCCAGGGCCTGCAGGATGGCCCCATTGTAGCCCAGGGAGTTGGCATGGGTTAACTCAGCACTCAGCTTGGCAAACTGCGAATGAAAACGCACCGTTAGCAAACCTAACTGAGAGATCATGGTGGGACTCGCCTAACAGCAGAGGCTCCCAGAGCCAAGGTGCCCAAAGGAGCCAAGAACGGTACCTTCTTAACATCCTGGACATCAGAATACACAAGTGAGATGCCTGCAACCCTCATGGCACCACCATTGCCGTAGGAACCTTTCCCATTAAACTGGGTTCTTGCTGGTTCAAACACATCATTGCACTTGGGGCTCAGGAGCTTCTTGAAGACGTTGACAACAGCCATCCCATAGCCCCTGTTGGGTTCCTTCTTGTACTCCTCAGCGAATCTGGCATGGGCAAGAGAGCAGCAGTTACACAGGTGAGAAAAAATATTTGGTCTGTTACCATGTTTGTAAAGAGGTTGTATAAAGCCACTTGACGAAGTGAATTAATAACATGTGGGTAATTCAGTGACAGTCAGGGTTGAAGTGATTCAGTTCTGTAGGGTAAGAATCAGATTCCCAAAAATTGGAGTGAAAGGAGGAAAGGGTGTGTAAACATCACCTTTCACAACCCACTTGCTTCCCTCACAACTTTGCCTTGAAATAGAAGCAAACTGGAAACATTTCCGTGGGTCACAACCACGAAGAAAGTCCTTTGTTCAAGTTCAGCGGAAGAGTTTTCTAAACAAATAAATGTTCTCACTTAAGTGGAACCAAATGCTACCAGAGCGTGGATTCAAAAGGGAAACATCATAAACAAACTGAAGCTGACCTCGCTAATATTCACTAACTAAATTAAGGGAAGTACAAACATAAATAGCAACAAACAAACATGAAAGGAAATGCTTCTGAAATTTCTAAGCATTATCTTTCACAAAGGTGAATATACGCACACGGCTGCAATACAGCATGTCCCATCCTGCTTCATTTTAAAGCAGACTCTGAGCCCACACTAAAGCTAACGGTGCTGCATGTTCCAAGACTGTGCAAAGCACAATAAGTTACAGGATTAGCCATGACTTTTCTGATTTCTTTTCCTCCACAAATGAACAAGGACTTTACTATAGCCTCTGTTGCCTTTCACAGAAAACTAGTGATTGCTTAGTCTTAAAAAGTTTTGCCTTCACCAGTAAATGTCAACACCCTGGCCTCCCAAGCTGGCTGCAGTCCTTACCTCTTGGCCATATCAACTTCATCAAACTCTCGCTTGGCTAGGAGGGACTGCACCACCGACCTGCTCATGGCCGTGTCATCCGTATACGAAAGCGTCTCTAAAACAGAAGGTCAAAACATAACGGGACCATCCAGGGACAAACTCTCCTCCTGCCCTTCTCCACTGTCAGCACTTCCCTACTTTCCAAGGCCTAATCATTTGTATAGCTGGAATTAAAACATTACCAGACGTTCCCCAGCACTTTGAGCTTGCCACTGGCCACAGTCATCAGGGTAAGAAGACACACAGCATGACAGATGCATGCACAACAAGAATGGGACAGAACGCGTTTCAAGATTAATAAGAGCCAAGAGAAAGCGTTTGATATCCAGAGGCACATATGGACAAGTGAGACAACTCTTTCTCGAGGAGTTTACAGCGTACGCTGACAAACAGAGAAGAGAAACCATTTCTGGACAAGACTGCAACAGAACCAAGTGCCTTTAAGGTCCTACTGGAAGAGTTTACAGGGCTTGCTGCACAGCTCAGAACCCCAACACAAAACCATCATCACTTGCTAAGAGTTACATAACCGTTCTTGTGCTTCTCATACTCTACTCCTTGCCTGTTTTTGATACATCGGTTCCTTGCTGACACCCCTGCACTGCGACACCCCGGTTCCCAGCACGCTACACACCCCGGCTTCACTCGAGCATGAGCAGCGCAGAGCGAGCACAGCAAACCACAGGTCCCTCCACACCAGCCACGTGCATAAGGAACCAG